GGACTCCAGCTCCGGATTTTGCCTCAAGATTAACTCCTGAAGCCTTTTGTGTGAGTGGATATAGCCACAAGGCAGTGGAGGTTTGAAATCGGAGTTTTCCTTCTCTTAGATGGGCTGCCTTCCATGGCTGACGAGCCCCACCTACCCGGCATTTAGTATCTACCCCTTAGGAAATGTCTAAGCATTTTTCAACAAGATTTGAAAGTTTGCATTCTAAGGCTAATGTTGTAAAACACTGAGAACCAATTAAAATGACCATAATATTATGTGATTATTTTAATAACTTGTTTTCATATACTGTTACACAATGGGCATGTTATGTGAGTGGATATGACATGTCCAGTGACTGTCTACATTGACCTAGGAAGTCTTTTTGTACATGGATGCAATGAGCCGCTATCTGTATTTTTCTGCATACTCCATCACTCCCAATAAGGCCTGTCCATACAAATGAGGCTGCAGTTCTATTGGAAGTGAGCCCCAGTGAACTCAGGGTGTGGTTGGTTCTACCGAAATGAATCAGGAGCTGGGCCAGAATATTCGCAGTCAGTTTTAAGCTATGTAGTTTTTCAGTTGGTCCGTCTGCCCTCGTGGGATAGTTTATATTCTGGTTGTAAATTGTGTGGCATAACAATACAGGGGACTACACAGGAACAGCAAGGCATCCATGCAATATCTATCCATAACATAGATAAATTGGCATATGATCAGAAATGATAGTGTTCAACTATCGATCATTATGTGCCGTCAAATCAATCTTGACTTGTTATTTAGTCGTTAAGTCATGTCTGACTCTTCATGACCCCAAGGACCAGAGCACGCCAGGCCCTCCTGTTTTCCACTGCCTCCCGGAACTGGGCCAAATTCAGGTTGGTCGCTTCGCAGACACTGTCCAACCACCTCGTCGTCCGTCGTCCCCTTCTCCTCTTGCCCTCACACTTTCCCAACATCAGGGTCTTTTCCAAAGAGTATTCTCTTCTCATCAGATGGCCAAAGTATTGGAGCCTCAGCGTCAGGATCTGTCCTTCCAGTGAGCACTCAGGGTTGATTGACTTATGGTGTCACTTTTCAGGGTTTTCTGGGTAGAAAATGTTTAGAACTGGTTTACCATTCCTTTCTTCTGGCAGTGTCTTGAGACTGCGCAGCTTGCCCAAAGCCACCCAGGCTGGCTCTACTCCCAGAAGGCACAGAGAGGAATGGAACTCCCAGTCTCTGTCTCCACTACCAGATGCCTAAACCACTCTGAAAAGGAAAACAGGCGTCAGCACACAAACAAAAAAAGAGGTCTCAGAGAATGAGGAAGATGTTAAATTTCCTCGTATTAATGTAAGCTCTGGTATACAAATATAGGTTCAGTTAGACATAATTGATGTAATTTAATTAGAAACATATGATAGCTGAGTTTACTGCAGAAGGACTTTAGCTATGGCTATCATGGGTAATAGCACTGTGACTAACGTGGGATAAAAACAAAATAAACTCAGCAGAGTGCTTATTAAGGAGCCTTGAATCGTAGTGGTTAGGCTGCAGTAAAGGTAAAGGTTGCCCTTGACATTTAGTCCAGTTGTGTCCGACTCTAGGGCACGGTGCTCATCTCCGTTTCCAAGCCATAGACCGAGCGTTTTGTTTAAGACATTTTCCGTGTCAAAACTCTCCTCATGTCTTTAATTCAATCGTGACAGATTTAGGTACCTAGCTTGAGGATGAAATAATGTTCCATCTTTCCAAGGTTTGTCAGTTGAGTATCCAGCTTGGGGCAGGGGACAATGTATAGCCTGCATAACAAATTATATACCACCCAGAGAGTGCTTTAAGCACTATGGGGCAGTGTATAAGCATCACTTCTCATTGTTTAGTCATTTAGTTGTGTCCGACTCTTCGTGACCCCATGGACCAGAGCACGCCAGGCCCTCCTGTCTCCCACTTCCTCCCCGAGTTGGGTCAAATTCATGTTGGTCGCTTTGATGCCATCACACTTGAATCAAATTCTGAAAAGTTATTTGCATTTTCTGAAGCTGACTGAACACCCTCCCCCCTTTTTTGTATTATATTCATCAGGTTTTAAAGCCACCGCCTCCTGCCCCTTTCAGTCCAGTTTCGATGCCAAAGGGGGGGAGGGTTTAAAAAGGAGAGCCGTCCAGCCAACATTGATACTCAGAGCCACCCCCACAGAAAAGAACTGAATGGAATATTAGCTCCTTCTGTATCTGTGATGAATTTCTGGAAGGTAAGAGAGTTTAATGAAGGCAGATAATTTGGGCCAGAATACTAATAGAGTCACAGAATGCTGGAGGGTCATTGCATGATGAGTGTGAAATTGATCATGCAACCCGATGCTCCTGTGCAAGACAGGAGGGCTACCTCAGTGGTGCCTTTGATCTTCCACACGTAGTCAACTCCGACAGGACCTGGGTCTGAATGCAGAACTGGCAACACTCCTAGCGTGGGCTTCTAGGAGAATCAGGGTCAAAAGGTAATATACAGAATCGCTGAACCGTATCAAAGCAGGCACTGTCCAGAATTAATGGGGCCAGTGAAAGACGGACACGTTGAAGAGCAAAGAATATAAGAGAACATAGAGTGGCCATGATATTGAGTACCGGCAGCTTGAGAAGCAAACAGAAGCTGTATCAGTTACATGAACAGCTGACTCATTTTGAGGAATGCTGGGAAATTAAAGAACAGTAAGTCTTTTTTCCCCCCAGCTTGCAACAGGCACTTCAAGAAGGCCAGTGTTTCGGGCTGCACTCCTAACTGTGGTTTCCTATGTAATTGCAGTTGTTGTTTAGTCATTACTGTAAGTTGTGTCCGACTCTTTGTGACCCCATGGACCAGAGCACGCCAGGCCCTCCTCTGCCTCCCAGAGTTGGGTCAAATTCATGTTGGTCGCTT